GAACGCGACGTATAACCGACGTTAGATAACGTCCAAATGCTACTTGGGAAACTTTTGTATCTTAGATGAGGACGAAACTGACGCTCAGGATGACGTCTTAGCAGATTTTATTTAATCACTTTAATTTAATAATAATTTTTTAACAATAATTTTATTTTAATAAATAATATTTAAACGTTATTTTTAATTGTTTTAATGCTTACATTATACTGGTTTATCTATATTAATGCTATACTGTTAACGCAAAAATTATAGCTGATTGGTTTAAAAAACTGAAAATTTATAAAACATATAGTAAAAAATTACTCATTCTATTACTATTTATTTTAGAAAAAAATTATTCAAGATAAAATATTCTAAATTCTATAAAAACATATCTAGTTTTTTTTGATAAAAGTTGGACAAACGGAGATATTTGAAAAAACGAAAAATTCAAGAGGTTTTTTTTCAAACTTCCTCCACTGGGACCGAATGGGACTTTTGAGGGGTTAAATAGGAGATCATTATCAACACATTCCCGTTGAGATCGGTTGGTTACTAAATTTTTCCACCTCAACCTCCAGATTGATTGGCCTAATATAACTGAATAGAAAGAAACATATATTTTACAGTAAAGTTAGTGTTTGTAGCAAAATTATGATTTCAAGTAAAGTTTTAAATGAATAAAATTTGCATAAGGCGTTATCCGAGCTATTATCTTTTATATTACCTACCAGTAAATCCTGTCGATGTACATTATCCGGCTATTGGAAATTATTACCTGCCATGTGACATCCACAAAAATATTTGTCTTTTAACATGGGCTTCCTCATCAATTCAACGCCACCTACCCAGAATCGAAGTATAGACCGGTTGATAAATATATGTAAATATTCTCTTTATGATAATTACGTGTTTTTTTAGTTACTGGCGTTAGGAATAATTTAAATCGTTATTAGTAAACATTAATTTTTATTTTATTTTAAACACCTTTTAAACTAGAACATGTATAGTATGTAAATTGTTGTGCTGTCTGCACTACTACGTTATAGTACCTATGATTAGTGTCCTCGAAATGCATTTTTGTAATTTAAAACTGGTACATTCTGAATAGAATATTTAAGGCAAAAGCCTAAGCCCGTGGTTACATTGGATGCGTGTCCGTACGTTTTTTTGGTCGTACGTGCTCGGACGTGCACGCAGCAAAAAACAAACAAATGGTATCTACGCAGGCGGTTACATTGCATCGGAGCAGAGATGGGCGGTTATTGGTAAAAAACGGTTATAGGTTAAATCGGAATTATCTTTAAAAAATAATAACTTGACAAAATTAACCGACACAAATTAACTGGTTATTCAAATAACCTAACCTAACAAAACAACATTTAATTTCTCCTAGGTTTACTTCTACCTCTACACTCCATATAGGTCTACTTCAAATTTAGATAATAAAACTTAGTTAAACTGCATGATTAAATAGACAGCAATGTAAGTATGTATATGTACAAAATGAATTTAAATAAAAATGCTAACCTCACTTTTTTGAGTAGACATGGATATGATATTAAAACTAGTAATTACTTAACGTTCAAATAAACCACATAACTCACAAGTTCTACAATCTACAACCAAGTTATTTTAATCAAATACCAAAGAAAAATAAGGAGACTGAATGAATAGATAATCAAATATTATCTTCATTCATTACTTATTATACATAATGAAAGATTATCTTCATTGATTATCTTCATTCATTACTTGAACTTCAATTTTGTATTCTTTAGTCTAAGCTTCAAGAGAGACTTCAAACTACAAATAAAATATATTTACGGTGAAAAGTGGGTGAAACTGGGCGAAACCATGGAAAACTTTTGAAGAACCGTTGAAAATCCGTTAAAGTCGGTTAAAATTTAAATATAGAATTTAGAGAATCTATTTGAAGTTAAGTTCGTATCACTTGGCTAGCTGGTGGCTAGTAGTAGTCTGTGGCATTAGTACTTTGTTTTACGGCCTGACCTGTCAGGGCCATTCGGCCGTTGTTTTGATTACTATCATCAGGGTTCGCCTGATGCCCAGATTTAATTTTTGACATTTGATGTTTGTCATATATTTTCGTTTTGGGAACGGGAGCGGGATTTCCCGTTATCGTCATAATATCTGGAAGATCCGTGCCGTTCGCTTCTTCGAAATTTACGATTTTTTAAAAAATAACCGGCTATAGGTTATTGAACGTAATGCAAGGTTATTAGGTTAACTGGTGAAAAAGAACTACCTTTAAATAACCGGTTATTTTAGAGGAAAATACCGGTTATTCAAAAAACCGGTTACTTTTGCCTATCTCTACATCGGAGTTTGCGCGTCCGTGCACGTACGTCAATTTCCGTTGGTCGGATGAAAACAAACTGGTTTGTTTTTCTAATACGTGCACGTCCAAGTGTTCGAATTTTTATATCTCTGGGCCCAATACATTCCCGAAAAATTTTAATATTTTTGAATTCCAGGTTTATTTTTATTTTAGATATATTAATGTTGCTGGAAACATTCTAAAATATTCAAAAAAATTGACCGATTGCTGTTTTAATTCACCAAATATTTTACAAATTCATTTTCTTGCATATAAATCATTTACCTAACATTTTCTTCTGTTTATAAGTAGTTATTTTAACATTAAATCCTCAGACAGCATCAAAGTAGTGGCGTCCGTTTTGACAAATTCGACACACAGGACACCATGAACGCGCAGCTAATGTAATGCTCCGTCAGAGCTCGCACGTTTAAAACAACGCACGGACCCGCGTCCAATGTAACTGTGGGATAACGCCATAGACAAACAAATAAAAAGAGACTGACAAATCCCATGGTAAAGAGTGGGACCGCGTTCCCGTAGCGCAACTCAGAATAACAATTTTCAAACCAATTAGCAGGACCATGGCAGGACTTACGTCTTTATTGCTATCTTTCTTTATTATGTGTGCTTTATATGAAAAAAAAAGAGATAGGTATAAAACGTATCGTAAGACATTATCGCACATTCTGGCTTGCGGAAAATTTAAATAAGCCATTATTAGTAGTATTCTTTCATTCTGAAACTGAAAATTTTCACTTAAACTGATTTATTACCTATACCACGTAAAGGAAACGTGGTGTAGGGAATAAATCAGTGTAAGTGAAAATTTGCTGTTTCTTTCAGAACGAAAGAATACTACTATTATAAGGGAAATAATAAAAAAAAGCAAAAATTGTACTGTTTTATTAACATATTTATTTATACATAAAAATAAATAAACTTTTTATAATGTAATAACAAAAAATAACACTGTTTATTCCACCCACCTAACAATTTTAAATGCAGAAGAACTGACTGTTGCAGGAAACGATCGGCCAATTTTTTTAAAGGGCGTTAAAAATCTCATTTTCGAAAAAACTGCCTAATTGCAATAACAAAGTGAATATCCAAGCAAAGAAGACTTTACGAGAATCATGATCTTGAACTATTTTCAAGTTCAGTTTTAATCCTAAAACAAAAGTAAAATAGGTATATTAATAAAGTTTCTGGTTACTATAAACCAGCTATAAACTACCTACCCAAAAAATGAAACAAATTAATTGTAATAATTTGTTATATTAAGTTCGAAATATTTTTGATACTACTTCTACTTTTTTCTTAATAAGATGAAAAATATAACTACTTACTTTTATCTTACCGGGTGTCTTTAACATATCTATCAGAGAAAGGGGGCACCAATACATATAAAAAATAGATGATACTGGTTCCTGCAGCAAATAAAATAACAAATAGTATAACCTAAAATTATAAGTAACAAAATATAATACCTATATGGAAACAAAGGAATTTGTTCTCTATCCATATTCATAAGTCAATAAAATGGAGAGTTAAAAAGATAAATCACCAAAAGAAAATTAACAAATATGACGAATTGTCATGATGTTGTCATTTTAGTTGTCATGATGACGAAAACGAAAGGCGATTGTTCTAATTTCTATTTAGAAATTACGTTTTATATGGCTGCTTCTTTCTCTCTTGTTATATTAGAATGAGATATTTGGGCCAATAGACGCAATGCGCAGATCAACAAACAGAACGAAATTTTGCGTTTTGAGTTGCGCTACGGGAACGTTGTCCCTCTCTTTGCCATTTAATTTGCCAGTCTCTTTTTATTTATTTGTCTATGGCTAACGCTAAAGAAATACAATCTGACAATGACAAAATTATGAGATGACAACTTAAGATACGTTGGCATGTGCCTGATTTGTCATTGTTACCTGTTCAGTTTTAATTTAAAAATAGAGGAAGTTTTTCGTAAATTACTTAAAATCGGCTTATCCGAAAATTTTCAAATTTTGCATGTGTATTCAGAATAGGCAGACCTTTAAAAAACTTATGTACGACTTCGCTGTAAAATTAAGAGGGAAGCTAAAATCTCATCTCGTTCAAAATTTGACCCGGTATATAATATAGATAATAAGAATCACATTTTTTCTATGCATCTAAAAGTTTTAGACACAGTTAGATATTAATGTAATACGTTTATAGAAAATTTAATAATTTGATACTTCAGTGCTTCAGTGGATATTTGAAAACAAACAACACCTGCCATACGACGTCGATTACAGTATTCGTCTTTCTACTAAACAGCAGATGCTTCTTCATCAATTTTCCTCTACCCGCCCACCAATAGAAATGTTAATAAATAATAGCTCCTTATCAAATTCGCGATGTTCGCGCGTAAAATAATAATTGCCGGTTGCGATAAAACGGCCGATAACCAATAATTTATTTATACATAATTGAAACCTGAACTCATCCCGGAACAACGTTGGAATGTGTCTTCGGCATTGTATCATTTATTGCTTTATTGACAAAGCTTTTTTAGATATTTCATACTGCAAGGATATATTGTTATAGGCGAGCATATTTTTTTATTTATTTAAACCAGTGATTTCCAAAGTGGTACAGGTTGATCATTAGCACAGAATTAATCCATGTTGACGGGACAGTGATGGGTGACAGACATATCAGAGATATTCTTTATCTTCACGTAAAGCTGCGGCGAGCAGCTGTTGGGGATACTTTTATGGTTGTTATAGACGATAACGCCAGACCTCATCGCACCAGAGCTGTAAATGAGTAGAATGTAGAATGACTGGAAAGGGGATTAATCACCTCGATCTTAATGATCTTTTGTGTTCCCCTTTCTTGAGTTATAACTCATCAAACAGTCTATAACTCATCATACATGGGAATTTTCCTGTTGTAGAGGAGACAGGATATTTCCCATTCTCTTCTGAGAACGACTGTTTATCCATCGAGGAGTAGACATCTATCTCCTACGCGGGTATATACCCTTCCACGGTTGGGGTTTAGCCCTCTGGGCCGTTCACAGTCAAAGAGCTTGTCTCCGACTGAGGTACCCTTGTTCCGGATCTATAATAGAGGATATATCTCTCTTTCTTTATTGCCTCCTTGGATTTTAAGTCAATTCCTATTATATGTGATAACCTGACAATGGCCCTCCCCCCTCGAGTTGATGACTCGCCAACTCGATGTCCTTACATTGGGTTTGTGGCAAAGCTGGTGCTACACCGCAAGAGTTTGTCGGACCACTTCTACAAAGCTCCGCATGTAGAAGTAAAGGAGACGAGAATACAATGTGTACCTGATACCCTAAGGTTGGGACCAATAGTAGCTAGGGATTCTATCTAGGTTATATTCTCTTGGTCCGGGCGGTTAAGCCAAGGCCCTCCAACACTCTCTACCTGTGATAGATGACCACAGACAGTAGAGATGGTATGACGGACAGGGTAGTCATATCCGTCATCGTTATGAATGGCCAGGGAGAAGACAGTGAGATGCTCTTTAGGCCCACCCAAAGTACCAGAGAGAGAATTAACCCTAGCACCTGACTAGGAGCTTCCCCAGCAAAGACAAGGTCTCACATCTCCTAGAAGAAGTGTAAATAAGTATCCTGAAATAATATCTTATCTCCAGACATGAACGCCACAGGGACAAGCTTTATAGGGCAGTTGCAGCACGTAGAAATTTACCCAAAAGTCTACAAGGATTATCAACTATCAGTCTCTCTACATCCACAGCATGGGTAGGCATCTCCAAGCTTTGATTACTTCATCTAGTAAAAATACCCTTTACTCGTATTAGAGATTCAAAGTTTAATTTTCAATGAAAATTACATTGAAAATTATTTTGCTTTACTTTTTATAAGAATACTCTTTGATGTTTGAAAGAAATTATTATTATTAAAATAAAGTAAAAAACAAACAAGTGAAGTATTTTTAATAAAAATTATCAATTAATTAGTCTCTAGTTTAGTCTTATCGAAAGGGACTTTATTTTCGAAGATTCAGGGTGATTTAAATGTAGAATGTTTAGGATGGGGGTTAATAACAGCGACCTTACAGATCTATTGTGTGTTCACCTTTCTTGAGTTATAATTTTTACCTATAACTCATCATACAGTCTCAGGGCTTTGACAAAAGCCAGTATTTGAGACGGCTCCACAGAGGCCAGCTCTCTATGTTCGTTATTAGCCGTCATTCAGGGAGATGCAAAACTTTTGAATTTATGTTTTTTTTACAGTTAGAGAAATTAAAGTTGTTTTTTAATTTTACCATCAATAAATCGGTCAGTAGAAAAAGTTATTTTGTATGTCCCAAGGTTCAAATTATATTGTAAAAGTTGTAGACGATCAACGATAATTCGACTGATACGAATCTTTGTATTTTATTAACTATTATAAAACCTCCAAGACAAATACCACTTTAGTAAATCAGCAAGTACATCTTCTGTTACAAGAGCACACGACAAGCAGTTGTACTTAAACACGCCTTCGATATTTATAGTAAATGTTAAAACCGTAAGTAACCAATAAACTGTCAGTTGTAATTGAGTCTGCCTCTTCACGAACATCATTCTCCTGACTGTAAAAGGACTGGCCACAGGCAGTAAACTCATAATCGCGGCGATTTATATGAAATAACTTTCTGAAAACTAAATATATTTAAGTTCGCACTATGCACAGTTTCAATCTAATCAGATCAAAATTAGTTATTTATTATTGTTGAATAAATAACTATTTTAATAATTTTTTAATATTCAATTAATATTAAAAAAAATTATATTAATGATGAGTAAAGACTCAGTCTGAGGTATAAGTTAGACAATAATTTTCATTTGTGGCAGTAAAAAATATTAAAAATAAATTAATATCTTACGATATGCTAATTATTAGAAAATTTACTAATTATTAATAGTCTTAAGAGTCCATTTCACTAATCCGAAAAAGTAGCAAAATAAGCGTTCGGCATTTAACGATTTATGTCAAACTGGCTAGGTATTTTTACACAAATGAAGAAGAAAATTAAAGATAAAGGATTATACTACATCCGTATTGTAGCACATTTTTAGAAAAATTCTTTATTTTTAAGATTTTGATGGTCAAACATCAACAAAATATTCTTTATGTTTAGACTAAATTTTCTTGAAAATAAGGACATAATTTAAAATTCCGTTATGATACGGAAATAGATTGAAGTTTTGTGATTACAGTGATATATAATTTATATGGTTTTGTAACAAATTCCTCGCTATTTTATGGCAAATGCTGAATCCTTAGTCAAACGTTAATCAAAGCACTTTTTTTTTCGATGAGGAGGGAAAAAATCTTCCATAAGACACCCATAGCTGGGTAGTGTTGGATTCTTACCGACTAAAAAAACCCTTCTCCCCTCGTTTTGCCTTCAATGCACCGGTAACCGCTCTCGCATTTCTTCAGTGCATTAGGCTGTCTAAAGAAGATGTTCTTTTTCTTTAGTCTCAATTATGTCTCTGACCGTCCTATATGCACTTTCCCATGATTCTATGCCCTTTGTTAAACTTTCCATCATATTACAGCTATTAAATGTAAGTCCTGTAAGTATTTGGAATCGATATCTTTGTTGACTCCACCTGGAACAGTCGTACAGGGTATGTTCAACGTCATCTACTGCGCCGCAGTATTTGCAAAGATTAGTATTGGACCTCTTCCGTTGAAAGAGATACTGTCTAAAACACCCGTGTCCTCAAAGTGCTTGAGTCAAAAAGTAGTCCACTTCACCCTTTGAATTCATCCACGTCTCAATATCTGGGATCAGCTTGTGCGTCGAGCGTCCGTATTTTCCGTTGTCCCATTTTTGCTGCCAGCGTCTCATTTGGTTCTTTCGGGCTTCTTTTGCAATACCCTCATAAACTTCAAGTCTTTCTGTTATTTGCAGTTCTATGTATATAATTTTCGATATTACATTTACGGCTTCTCTAGATATTGAACGATACGCACATGCAACTCGGATGCAGGCAGTTCTCTGAATTCTACCTAGCTTTTGTACCAGTCTTTTGTTTTCCGTCACCTTGTGCCACGCTGGAGCCGCACATAGAATTTGTGAGTGCATCGCACCCATGAGAACTCGCCTTCTAGATGATCTTGGTCCTCCGATATTTGGTAAAAGTCGAGTTAATAAACGTGTGGTGTTCTCGACCTTTTCTATGGTTTTATTTATATGCTATATATGCTATATACAATAGCTCGCTTTGGCATAACTATAGTGTCTGTTATCTGAAATATTATAGGAGACAGCTTTCTTTTTGTAGTTAAAAGAACGGCTTCCGTCTTCTGCGGGGCCAACCTCAAGTTTCTGCTAAGCAGCCATTTGCACATTCTCAGCAGCGAGGTGTTAACAATATCCATTAATATGCATTCATTTTTGGCCACTGCTACCATAGCCACATCATCTGCAAACCCTATTAATGTAACGCCTTCAGGCATTTCTACTTTAAGCAAGTCATCATATAAAATGTTCCACAATGTAGGACCCAAAACTGAGCCTTGCGGTACACCACTATTAATAGTTAGCGTTTTCATAGTATTCGCCGCTTCGATCTGTATTGACCGATTTGAAAGATATTATGCTATGAGATTGATCAAATTCTTCTCTATGCCTCTTCTATCTAATGCCTCTAAAATGTGTTGCCACGAGGCGCTGTTAAGTGCATTTTACACATCAAGCGTGATGACTGCACAGATTCTTCGGTTCTGGGGAGCAAAGTTTGCCGCATCATCCGCAATTCTAAGTACCTCACGACGTATGGCATCAACAGTTTGTCGACCCTTCCTAAAGCCGTAGGTACTGCTTTTCGGAGAGACTTTTATCGGGCTGCGAGAGTTCTTCTTTTAGCTTTCCCAATATCAAATGTTCGTATAGTTTTCCCTGTACGTCCAGTAAACTAATGGGTCTGTATGCTGTTGGATCATGAATTTCTTTATTTCTTTTCGGCAATAAAATAAGTTTAGCTTTCTTCCAATCAATAGGAAACTTTAATTGATAAGCCATTTGATTGTATACAAAGGGTTTAATTATACTTAGGGTTTAATTCTGTTATAATTTTTAATACTGCTCACTTTTCCAGGTCCAGGGGATTTGTTATTTTTAATCTTATCACAGGCTTCTTTTAGTTCTTCTTGGCGAAAACTAATAATCTTATTACTAATATCACAGCTAAATATCACAGTATTGTGTTTTGGAAATAAATTACTGACTACCTTCTCCGTAAAACTCATAGTGAGTTTCGGATTTGTTTTGAATCCATGTAATTTCTTCATTAAAATTTTGTATCCATTTCCAAATATATCACAGTCAAGGGTATCACAAATTGTTTTCCAACAATCTTTTTTAGCTTTTTTAATAGAATTTCTAAGTTTTTTCTTTTGAACTTTATATTCGTCCCAAAGCTGGGTAAAAATGTGCAAACTTCGGTGAGAGTGTATTCAATTCAATTTTAATTGTGTAATAATTAAAATATGTTTTAAACGTGTATTTTTTTATTACCCTTTAGTATTTTACTCCACAATCTTTAATGTTTGTTAAATTAATAAAAGCTATATCACATAGCCACCTAGATTTTTTCAAATAATAAAGATTTACTGACGCAAAATCATAAAAATTAAAATATCTGGGAAAATCTTTGTCTGAGGGGTAGGCAACCTTAATAATATTTTGAAGATATATAAATTCCCCATTGAACACCGGAAAAATATACTGGGTGTTCCATTTAAAATAAAGGAGTAATTTG